TCGCCCCAGATGTTAACCCCTTCCTACCCAGCGTCATTAGTACAGTGTCAGTGCTTTTAATTAGCACTGCTCACTATATTTATGTCATTGGAATGTCAGTGGCAGTTAGTTCCACCCCAGTGTCAGAATGCCTGCTGTAGTCCCGCTATAAGTCGCTGATTGCCGCCATTACTAGTATATAAAAAAAAATTTAAATAAAAATTCCAGTATATATACACTGCCATTTGTAGACGCTATAACCTTCATGTAAACCAATTAATATACACTTATTGGGATTTTATTTTAGCAAAGCCTTGTAACAGTATACATTTTGGTCTAAATTTCTGAAGAAATTGATTTTTTTAATTTTTTTACTAATTTGTTTTGTAGCAAAAAGTAAAAAATATTGTTGTTCTTCAAAACTGTCGGTCTTTTGTTTATAGCACAAAAAATAAATGCAAAAGGTGCATCAGCTGATGACTGGGGGACACCAACGAGCTGGGGATCTGCTGAACGGGGACACCAACGAGCTGGGGATCTGCTGAACGGGGACACCAACGAGCTGGGGATCTGCTGAACGGGGACACCAACGAGCTGGGGATCTGCTGAACGGGGACACCAACGAGCTGGGGATCTGCTGAACGGGGACACCAACGAGCTGGGGATCTGCTGAACGGGGACACCAACGAGCTGGGGATCTGCTGACGGGGACACCAACGAGCTGGGGATCTGCTGAATGGGGTCACCGGGGGGTGAGTGGAGGTAGGGGGGCGGGCTAAGGTCCCGCGCCAACGAGCTGGGGATCTGCTGAACGGGGACACCAACGAGCTGGGGATCTGCTGAACGGAGACACCAACGAGCTGGGGATCTGCTAAACGGGGACACCAACGAGCTGGGGATCTGCTGAACGGGGGAGACTGCTGAACGGAGACACCATCGAGCTGGGGATCTGCTGAACGGAGACACCAACGAGCTGGGGATCTGCTGAATGGGGACACCAACAAGCTGGGGTTCTACTAGGCTCCTTTAAAACAAATAATCAACACATGCAGGGCATTTGCTTCATTAAAACTTCAAAAGGCATCACCGAACCATCAAAAAAAAAAAAAAAAAAAAGCATGTTGAAGCAGTAGGTGCTTTAATGTGTGTTAAAGTTGAGCAAGTGTAAACAAGCCCTAAGAGGTAGCCATCTGTCATGTGAGAGACTGCCTCTGCTAATGTATCCTCATGAAAACACAGTAACCCAGGAAAAGCTTGCAGATCAGACTTCCCCAATTTGTAAACGTTGACAATTCAATTGAAGTCAGCAAAATAGTCAACCAGCATTTTCAGAAAGCAATGGCAAAACGCCCATATTTCTTTCAATAACAGTTTAATATGGCTACCACCGGACTTTAAGCAGCTACTTCGCTTCAGCAGCATATCCACTTCTCATAAGGATCATGCCGTTAAAGGAAACATGGACTGCCATTAAGGACCTCTTTTTGAAACCAGCTCCGTCATCAATACTTTCTAAGTCACTGACAGAGAACAAGCATGTAGATCATGAAAAGTCAGGAGGTGGTCAGATCTACTCTACTTACCTGCTCAGTGTAAGTGCTTCAGAAAGTAAAAGTCACTGTACCATAATGAAAGCCTGGGAACTAGCATTTTCAGAGGGGAAGATCAACAACTGAAACCTCCATACTTCATCACTACAGGTTTTTAAATAAGTAATGAGCAATTACCATTCAGTGACATTTCTCTATGTGGCTTATGAGCTGAAAACACTTGAGGATTTCTATAAATCCGCATGGTGTACTGGAATTCTTAAAAAAAAAAAAAAAAATTGAAAATCATCGGTTAACAATACATACATTGATAGCAGTTAGACATGGATGGCTAAATTACTGACAGAAGACTGTACGTCTGGTTGTATTCTGAAGCTGAGAGAACAATGCATTTTTCTAGGATGAGGAAAGCAAAATGCCATTTCTCAGTCCAAAGGTTATTCTGATCCTTTACCAAAGCTAACTTGCTTGTCTTTCTACGTCAGTTCCCACTCTATTTCAAATACATTTTACTGCTACTCAGGGAAAAATGGAAGACAAAATGTTTGAGGTACCCATAGATATTTCGTCTTTTGATGCCCGCAATTTTGACAGGGGCAGATTATCAGATGTCTGCAGGGATGCTCAGAGAAAAATATAGGCTTCAAGGACCTTCATTAAGCAGAAATACTAAAAAATTAGATAAGAAGTTCTGAAGATTACTTCTCTCAAAATTAATACTGAGATAAATACATTTCATGGGGAAATGAGCTGTAGTATAGGGACTAAGAGCAATGTACAAACTACCCAACCAGCAGTCAACATGCACTTTCTATGGAGCAGTTATACTAATCACAGAATAGGAAAGAGCAACACACATAAGGAAGTTATTTAGGCTGCATTCACACTTGAGCATTTTGTAGCTTGAAAGGCCAAAAAAAAAGCTCAAGATTAAAAAAAAAAATCAATTGTCCTCTATCATGCCTGTTCGCATGATCAAGTGTGAACAGGCACCATAGAGAACAATTTAATTGTTTTTTGGTGCTTCAAGCTACAAAAACGCTCAAGTGTGAATGCAGCCTTAAAGCAGAGCTCCACCCAAAAAGGGAAGTTCCGCTTTAAGGACTGCTCCCCATTAAGGATTGGAACCTCTGGGGGCGGGGGGGAGCGGGCACCCGAATTTGACAGGTACCTGCTCCCACTTCCGGTCCGATTGCCTAGGCAATCGGAAGGCATCCTCCCTCCCTGTAGTCTTTTGGGACACGTGACAGGTTCCGGAAGACTACAGGACCATTCATGAAGCGCAGTGCTACTCGCGCATGCACAGTGGGTACCCAGCTATGAAGCCGCAAGCTGTCACAGCTGCATGCCCACACTGAAGATGCTGGCCTCCTGGAATACAAGACAGCCGGTGAAATGGGCCGCAGGGAACACACCGCAGGACAGGTAAGTGGCTGTTTTTTAAAAGTCAGAAGCTACAGTTTTTGTAGCTGCTGACATTTTTTGACAGCATGAGTGGAACTCCGCTTTAAGGATATTTCTAAGAAAAACAAACCTCCCTGTGTGGGGCCCCTAATTGTTTCAGCATCACTGTTGCTTGCATTAGTTGATGGACTGAAGCCTAGACATGGAGATACAGTGGCCCTTATTCAAAGACATTTTATACCAGCAGGTATCACAGGCTATATCTCTATAATTCTCAAAGCAGTATTAAACCCAAAAGCAAGCATTTTTTTTTCATGTGATGGCTGTATTAATTTCCTTTTTGAGGTTTCTCTGTCCCTTATTTTCACCTGCTGTCTCTTTTTTCCAAAAAGGCCAAACCCTCTTGCATATGTAGCAGTTAGAGGGATGAAAAAACCATTTACCACTGACAGAAGAGCTTACAATGATCAGGTTTTTATTAAAATTATGTAAAAGGATTAAAAACGGTTTGCTGTAACTGCTTATGAAGTGTGAGCTAAAGTTTGGTTTCAATTTGTTACTGCATTTAAATCCGCTAGTACATCTAACACTCCCCTCCCCACTAGACTGACAATTCTGCTGTCCAAAGGTGCCCCTCTAATACAGGTTTGTTACTGGCCAGAACCTCAGGTTAAAAACGGGGGGGGGGGGGGGGGGGGGTGGATTGCCTAAAACTAGGTTTACACTAGTAACAGAATGTAGTAGAATGCGGTGCGGGAAACCCTTGCGATCTGCAGCAGGTGCCAGTGCAATCTTAAAGTGTTACTAAACCCAGGACCCTGCATTCACCATCTCTGGTCTCCCACAGTACACAGAACATGGAAATGCAATTATTTCAGTAAATAGTGTTGGAGTTCTGCCTGGCAGAATAGGCTGGCAGTCCACTAAGGGCAGGGTTTGTTTTCTGTCACAAAGCAACAACTGTAGGAAAAACTTTAACCACTTGCCCTCCTGAGGATTTACCCCCCTTCATGACCAGGTCATTTTTTTGCGTTATGGCACTGCGTTGCTTTAAGTGACAATTGTGTGGTCATGCAACGCTGCACCCAAATGCACCCATAAATTGAGCTTTCTTTTGGTGGAATTTGATAGCCTGTACATTTCTTTTTTTTATAGTGTAAAAAATAAAAGACTGACAATTTTGAGAAAAAAAAATGTTTTTGACTTTTTGCTATTAAACATGTCTAGCAAAAAATTAAAAAAAAAAAAAAAATTTTGTCATAACTTTAGGCCAAAATGTATTCTGCTACATGTCTTTGCTAAAAAAAAAATCCCAATATGTGTAAATTAATTGGTTTACGTGAAAGCTTTAGTGTTTACAAATGGCGGTATAGATACTGGTAATGGCGGCGATCAGCAACTTATAGCGGGACTGCGGCGGACATTCTGACACTGGGGGGAACCGACTTGGTGTCACTGACAACCCCAATGACAACAATACAGTGTCTAATGGCACTGGGCAGGAAGGTGTCAACATGAGGGGCGATCAAAGCGTTAACTGTGTGCAGGGAGTGTTTTACATAGGGGGCTGTGTCAGTGTGCTTCACTGTAAGCACACTACTTTGGATGGTTGTGCTGTGCAGTGTGCCTGAGCTGACAGGGAGGAGAACTGTTTGTTTACTAACAGTTCTTCCCCTCCCTGTTGGAGATCATTGGAAATCACCGGGTGCTGGCGAGTAATTACCGACCGGGACCCGGTGATTGACAGCGCCCCCCTACCCGGAAATGCGAAATCACGGATATATACCGTATTTTTCGCTCCATAAGACGCACTTTTTTCCCCAAAAAATCTGGTGGAAAATGTCAGTGCGTCTTATGGAGCGAATACTGACCAGTCCTCCACCTGTCACCGCCGCCGTGTTAGGGCCAGCGGCTGTCCCATCCCACTGCAGCCTGTCCCCCCTCCCACTGCAGGCTGTCACCGAAGTTCACCCTACCTTATCCCCTCTCTCAGCGGGCTGTCCCCGCAGCTCTTCATAGCAGGCAGTCCCCTCTCCGAACCCAGCCAGCTTGGTCTGCAGTCCGGGCTGCCCTGCAGGTGTGGCCTCTCCTCGGAGCTCCTCCCCACTCCTGACATGTCTTTGTACTGCGCTCCCTGCTCTGCAGTCCGGTCCGGTCTGCAGGCGTGGCCTGTCCTTACAGTTCCTGTCTGCAGGTGTGGCCTGTCCTCGGAGCTCAGTGCGCTCCCTGCCTTCTATAGCCTGCCTTCTGTAAGTTCAAAATCACAGATGCTGGGAGTTGTAGTCCTTTTCCTTGATGTATGGTGTCAGATCATTTGATATTCTTTCTATTGGGTGGAGGGGCCCTGTTGGGACTTTATATGATGTAGTATGTCCGCAGTCTCTGCTCATCCCCTGTACCGTGTCCGCAGTCTCTGCTCATCCCCTGTACCGTGTCCGCAGTCTCTGCTCATCCCCTGTACCGTGTCCGCAGTCTCTGCTCATCCCCTGTACCGTGTCCGCAGTCTCTGGTCCTCTCCTGTACCGTGTCCGCAGTCTCTGGTCCTCTCCTGTACCGTGTCCGCAGTCTCTGGTCCTCTCCTGTACCGTGTCCGCAGTCTCTGGTCCTCTCCTGTACCGTGTCCGCAGTCTCTGGTCCTCTCCTGTACCGTGTCCGCAGTCTCTGGTCCTCTCCTGTACCGTGTCCGCAGTCTCTGGTCATCCCCTGTACCGTGTCCGCAGTCTCTGGTCATCCCCTGTACCGTGTCCGCAGTCTCTGGTCATCCCCTGTACTGTGTCCGCAGTCTCTGGTCATCCCCTGTACTGTGTCCGCAGTCTCTGGTCATCTCCTGTACTGTGTCTGCAGTCTCTGGTCATCTCCTGTACTATGTCCGCAGTCTCGTCATCTCCTGTACTACTGTACTATGTCTGCAGTTTCTGGTCATTTCCTGTACTATGTCTGCAGCCCATTTGTTCAGAATATTTTTTTCTAGTTTTCCGCCTCTAAAAACTAGGTGCGTTTTACGGAGCGAAAAATACGGTACGTGATTTTGCGCACCCGTGGCGCCATGTAGCAGAATTTCTGCTATAGGGCAGAGTGGAAGCGGTTAAATGTGTTCATTGTTGACAAATTACAAAATCTCTTTTTGTAAACCAGATATTTTCCCAGTAAAATCAAGCAGTCATCCATAAATGATGTAAAAATTAATGATTTTACCAATGCCAAGGCTCGGAGAAAAACTGTATTAGACCGCATGCACACAGGATGTTTATTTAACTCTCCTAGGAGCCAGCAGCATTTTTGCAGAAAAAGGCCTGACACTTGTAAAAGTTTCTAAAGCTTTGACAAGCTTTTATGAACTTTTACAGGCATCAAGCTCTTGGGCATGAAATGAATTAATTTCAATGGCCAGAATAAATCATTTATTCTGGTCATTGAAATGAATTAATTCTCAAGCACTAGCATTTAGATGCGCTTAGCAGCTTTTAGTAGCTTCAAGCATTTTTTCCGCCCAAACTCTGCTGCTCCTGGATGCACTGGCAGTGGGTGTTTTTCCTGCCTCTAAAAGCTCCTGCCACTAAATGCCTGTGTGTGCATGGACACATAGGCTAACGTGGAGGAGCATTTAAAGGCAGGAGAAACCGTCAGACTCCCCTAGAAGCAGCTGTAAAAATGTCCTGTGTGCATGAGGCCTTATAGCAAAATCAAAAAGGAAACACTAGCAAAGGGATGTGAATATGTGCAGATGTAGGTGGCATTATTTAAAGAGAACTGAATAAAAGGAATAACCAATTTATAAAAAGCATTACTGTAGAAAAAATATCCTCAACTGTGCACATGGCTTTCATTAACAATGTTTGGAATGTTGAACTAGAGAAGAGTTAAGCATCTGTTTCCTCTTTCACAGTACAGGCGACTACAGTTCAGTTTATGGTACTCCTCTCAGTCTAATCCACAGAATGAAGATGCTAAACACAAATCCCTTTCCAAACACCATCCTTCAGATTCAGTAAAAATTTGTCATGATTCAAGTCTGAAGCCACCTCACTTTGTCTGCTAACTGCCTTAAAGGATAAGTTCACCTTTTGTATAGACTGGCCCCACCAATCCTCCCTGTGATAGCTAGCGGGGAAACTTCTCCCTCCTGCTAGCTGTCACAATTTAAAAAAAAAAAAAAAAAAACACAGTATTCTGTGAATGAGAACTCTACAAGTTCCGACAGCCTTTGCGGCTGTTGGCTTGTAGTTCTCACTGAACTACCACGGAGCTGCGCAGCACTGTGGTAGTCCATTGAGACTTCCTGTCAGTAAGTACCTGCTTGCCCGAACGAGGTGTACACAGATACACTGACAGGTTTCAGGAGACCTGCATGGCATCAGTGATCTGCTGACCGCTGGTGCAATGCTTTACAGGCTCATGAAACAAAAAATAAATGCACTTTTTTTTGGCCTGCATAAAAATGTGCATTTATTATTTTTTGTTAAAAGAAGAATTTATCCTTTAAAAATGCATTTTAGCACCAACTGTCAGAAGGGGCAGTGGCGTGGAATTTTTTTTTTTTTTTTAAAAATAGTTTTCTAAATCAGGGTCCCAATCTACTTGTTCCTAATGACAATCTACGTCCTCCAATTTAGATGTACATTTCCGCAAATTAAACCTGAGTGTGCGCACGTTTAGCCTATATCCATTATACTACTAAATAGCTTGAATATGTTTTGGTAAAATACCTGAAAAAAAATTAAAGGAACACTTTGAAAACACATCAGATCTCAATGGGCAAAAATCTCATGCTGGATATCTATACTGATATGGACTGGGTAATGTGTTAGGAATGTAAGGAGGCCCCATCATTTGATGGAAATGAAAATTATCAACCTACAGAGGACTGAATTCAAAAAAAGACACCCCGAAAATCAAAGTGAAAAAATTATGCAGCAGGCTAGTCCATTTTGCTGAAATTTCAACGCAGCAACTCAAAAATGGTACTCAGTAGTTTGTATGGCCCCCATGTGCTTGTATGTATGCATTACAACATCAGGGCATGCTCCTAATGAGACAACGGATGGTTGTCCTGGAGTATTTTCCCAGACAGTCTGAGGTGCAACCTGGTGGCGTCGGATGGACCAAAACATGATATCCCAGAGGTGTTCTATTGGATTTAGGTCAGGCAACCATAGGGGCCATACAATGGTATCTATTCCTTCACCCCACAGGAACTGCCTGCATACTCTCGCCACATGAGACCAGGCATTGTCGTGCACCAGGAGGAACCCAGGACCTGCTACACAAGCATAGGGTCTGACAATGGGTCCAAGGATTTTATCCCGATACCTATTGGCAGTCAAGGTGCCATTGACTAGCCTGTAGAGGTCTGTGCGTCCCTCCATCAGACCATCACTGACCCCCCCACCAAAACGGTCATGCTGAACAATGTTACAGGTCGCATAACGTTCTCCACAGTTTCTCTGCAGACCTTTCACGTCTGTCACATGTGCTCAGGGTGAACCTGCTCTAATTTGTGAAAAGCACAAGGGTGCCAGTGGCAGACCTGCAAATTCTGGTGTTCAATGGCAAATGCCAATCGAGCTCTATGGTGTCAGGCAATGAGCACTGGGCCCACTAGAGCAAGTTGAGCCCTCAGGCCAACCTTATACAGTATGTTTCTGATTGTTTGGTCAGAGACATTCACATTAGTGGCCTGCTGGAGGTCATTTTTGTAAGGCTCTGGCAGCTCTGATCCTGTTCCTCCTTGCACAAAAGGAGCAGATACCAGTCCTGCTGATGATTTAAGGACCTTCTGCAGCCCTGTCCAGCTCTCCTAGAGTAGCTGCCTGTCTCCTGGAATCTCCTCCATGCTCTTGAGACTGTGCTGGGAGACACAGAAAACCTGACAATGGCACATATTTGTGTGCCATCCTGGAGGAGTTGAACTGTCTGTATAACCTCTGTAGGGTCCAGGTATCGCCTCATGCTACCTGTAGTGACACTGACCCTAGCCAAATGCAAAACTAATGAAACAATCAGAAAACGATGAGTAGGGAAAACAAATGTCAGTGGCCTCCACCTATAAAACCATTCCCGTCTTGGTCGTCTCATTGTTCCATATAGTGCACCTGTTAAATTTCATTAACACCAAAGCAGCTGAAACTGCTTAACAACTCCCTCTGCTACTTAACTGACAAGTTCAATATCCCAGGAGTATAAATGACTTGATGTTATACTCTGATTAAAAAGTGTTCCTTTAATTTTTATATATACACACACCATAATTTACCACCAAAGAACAACACAAAATAAATTCTTCTGCTCCTGACAAATCGCACCGATACCACATATTTGTATGTTCGTTATTGTTTGTACCTGTAGTAGGGCCCAGAAAAAATGGTGCGCATTTTGCATTTTTTTTTTTATCCTGCCTAAAACACCAATATAAAAAATAACTTAACCCCAACCCTGGCAAACCTTGATCTAGTTGCTTTTTTTCTTTATTTTTCATTTTTTTGTTTATCTCTTCCTCTCCTGCAAGAAGAGCAAGATACAATGCATCTTCCCTTTCATTCAGAAGAGACGGGCACACAGTAACTGATCACTGTGATAACCAATCAGAAGTTATCACAGTGATCAGTTGACCCAGAACCGGGAGTCCCAATCGTTAGTACGAGACCTGGGAATCTCAGTGAGAGCACAGTCTCTGTGCGGCGCACTCCCATGGATAAAGTCCCACTTCTGTGAAGTCGCATATATGCCCTGCTGCTTGCAGCAGGACTAAATGTACAAAAAAAAAAAAAAAACTACCTGCCCAGAACTGCATTTCCTGTGTGTCATGCGATATGAATTGCACATCCCTGAGGAAGCTGCTTAATGCGGGGTCTTCACAAATCCCAAGCGCCAGGTCACCATGGCGACTGCAAATTGCACCCTGGCTACACTTTTACCCCCGGGTGAGTGCGTGGACCAGGTTAAGCTGGCTGGCAATTGAGGCTGCGGCTTTGCAGCCTGCTGGAGCGGGATGCAACACTCATTTGTGGGAACCAGTGCCCTCCACAGGTGAGGTGGGCTGGGCTGCGATGAGCGCAGTACACTTGCCATTCTGATCGAGGGCTTCCCTTGCTTGCTCTCCCTGCCCTCCCACTTCCGACGTCTCCTTCCAAGTTTGACAGCTGGGTGCTGGGATTGCGGTTGAGGGCTTGATCTGGCGCCCTTGCCTTACCACTGGTGAGTGGACAGGGAGTGTGAGGCAGCTGGCTGTGGCTTCAGTTCCTTTTACCCCCCCCTCCCCTACAAAGAGGGGGAAACAGGTTTGAGTTAGGTAGAACAGATCCATCCTAGACATCAAGGGAATTACCACATCTTCCACCAATCACAAAGTGGCAGGGTTCACAGATGACCTGCTCCTCTTTATTACTCACCTGATACTTCACTACCGAAGTTGATGAGAGCCCTAGATGATTATAGTACCTTATCTAATTTGCTGCCTATTCAGCAGTGCCGCCTATCAGTGTCCATTGGTGCTGCCTATCTGACCACATTAGTGAAGCAGAAAAATTACTTATTTGCAAACTTTTATAACAAACTAAAAAAAAAAAAAAAAAAAAAAAAAAGTTGTGTTTTATTTTATCTGTCTTTTTTTTTGTTTGGCAACAGGTGTGAGCAATTCCTACTGCCCGAAGCCCTGGACATGAAGTTCTGGGTGCCGGGCAGCTCATTAAAAAAAAAACTGGCTCCTAACTTTTTAGCGGATTCCTAGATTCAAAGCAAATTTGTCAAGCCCTAACTTAATGAATTAGCAAAACTTATTAATTTTTACAGCTGGCTAGCAAACCTTCTCTATTAGGATGGTATCTAGACAATGCCTCTGCTCACAGATGGTGCAGTCTTTGCTAATTGTTAAAGAAACGGTTAAAATTTAGTTATGCTTCCTCACTTACTGATTTGCTATTTTGTTCCCAAACAGTATACTGTGGCTAACACTGTAA